TTTTTTTTCTTCCAGTTGCAGCTGCCCGTGACACTGGGAGTCAGGCTTCTCCTTCCCAATGAAAGAGATGGGCTCTGCAGCACCATGCTCCTAACACGTCCCTCCCTGCTCATCATGCCCAAGTAACAACAGCAGTTTAATATCCTTAATATCCCCAGCCCTGTCCCCTGCCCTCCTCCGGGGCAGCCAGCATGGTGCCACCCCGCAGCAGGGGACTCCTGGTAGGACGAGGGGATGGTGAATTTGCAATTTGTTCTGCTCAGTGGGCTGCAGCCCAGGGAGATCATGCAGCGTTTGAGGGCTGGCGTGGCCCAAGGCACCTGGTTTTCTGCACACACCAAAACCACAGGGCAGGGACCCCTCGACATGGAGGGTAACAGGTTGGTGGGGCAAGGTTTTGGTAGCGGGGGGTTACAGGGGTGGTTTCTGTGAGAAGCCGCTAGAAGCTTCCCCTGTGTCCAATACAGCCAGTGCCAGCCGGCTGCAAGATGGACCTGCCGCTGGCCAAGGCTGAATCAGTGACGGTGGCAGCACCTCAGGGATAACAGATTTAAGAAGGGGGAAAAGTGATTGCACAGGAGCAGCTGCAGCTGGAGAGGGGAGTGAGAATATGTGAGAGAACCAAGGTCAGTGAAGAAGGAGAGGCAGGAGGTGCTCCAGGAGCTGGAGCAGCAATTCCCTTGCACCAAGACCATGGTGAGGCAGGCTGTCCCCTTCAGCCCATGGAGGACCCCATGCCGGAGTAGGTGGGTGCTCAAAGGGGGCTGTGACCCTGTGGGAAGCCCACGCTGGAGCAGTCTGTTCCTGAAGGACTGCACCCCGTGGAAGGCACCCACGCGGGAGCAGTTCATGAAGAACCGCAGCCTGTGGGAACAACTCGCGTTGGAGAATTCATGGAGGACTGTCTCCCATGAGAGGGATCCCACGCTGGAGCAGTCTGTTCCTGAAGGACTGCACCCCGTGGAAGGCACCCACGCGGGAGCAGTTCATGAAGAACCGCAGCCTGTGGGAACAACTCGCGTTGGAGAATTCATGGAGGACTGTCTCCCATGAGAGGGATCCCACGCTGGAGCAGGGGAACAGTGTGAGGAGTCCTCCCCCTGAGGAGGAAGGAGCGAGAGAGACGACGTGTGATGAACTGACCACAACTCCCATTCCCCATCTCCCTGCACCGCTCGGGGGTAGGAGGTAGAGAGATTGGGAAAGTTAAGCCTGGGAAGAAGGGAGGGGTGGTGGGAAGGTGTTTTTAAGATTTAGGTTTATTTCTCATTACCTTTATCTGATGGGTAATAAATTAAGGTAATTTCCCCAAGTCAAGTCTGTTTTCACCGTGACAGTAACTGCTGAGTGATCTCCCTGTTCTTATCTCGACGGATGAGCCTCCCGTTATATTTTCTCTCCCCTGTCCAGCTGAGGAGGGGAGTGACAGAGCAGCTTTGGTGGGCACCCAGCAGGTGCCCAGAGTCCCCCAGGTCTCCCAAGGGGTGCTGAAGAGCTTTCTTGGAGTCTTCCCTCCCAGTGCAGGCTTAGAGGAGGGTCTCCTCTGCTCCCACTGTGCAGCTGCAGCTTTGCTGAGAAAGGGTATAGCGAGATCACCCAAGAGTTGTCTGCCTGGTCTCATCCCACACAGCAGGCACTGGTCAAGTTAGGTCACATACAACCAGGACTCTGAGACCACAAATTCAGATGCCGCTAAGAGGCATTTTAAGAGAAGTGGTACTCTTCTGAATAGATCAAGATACTCTGGGGCCTGGAGACCAGAAAGACTTTCTTGGCAGAGAAGTTTGCTGTGCCTTTCAGGTAAGGCGGTGGCAGAAGAGGAGATGGGGCGTGCCCCACCGCGTGAGAAAGAACAGCCCTGAAAGCAAGCAGCACCCAACACCCAGCCATTCCTCGCTACAGGCTGCAGGAATGACTTGCCAAAAAAAGGAAAAGCTGGTCCTGTTGCCATGAAAGCAAACCCCAGATCTGATGCTGGTCACGCGGAGTTTCAAGCCTCCACTTAAAGAACAGCAGCAATACAGGACCCTTTAAAGACGCTCAGGCAGGACTGTGTCCCTCGCACTGGGAGAGGGATCGACTGCCACAAGCTCAGGTGTTCTTGTTCTACTCTGCAAGAGAAACGAGGTGGCAGATCACTGACAGAGACCTTGGGTTCCAGCGTAAGTCTGGCACTTCAGCCAGGAAAGCAGCAATGACAATCATGGTCCTGCTAAGAAGAGCCTCCCAAGGCCACGTGCTACAGCGGGCAAGAGGCTGCGACAAAGTTGGCCTGGAACAATTACCATCGCAAGACCCAAAAGTCCATGTTAAAAAAGTTGTTTTCCTGCCTCACTATTAAATACATACATTAGTAACCTCACCAACAGAAATACATATGCTCCGAAGTATCGAGGTGACAGCTGTGGAGGAATTTCCAGAATGGATGACCATAACGATGGGCATAAAGGAGGGACTTCAGGTGCTCTTATAAGGGAGGGGATGTTGTACAAAATGCAGCTCATGTACTTCTCAGGATTTCTGCTGTAAGAAACAGCTGGAAGTGAAGAGGAAGACTCAGGGAACTGAGCACAGACGTGGTATCAACAGGCTTCACTGCAGCATGAAGGTTTAACTGCCCTGGCGGCAGCAGGCGAGACACTTTCAGTAGGCAGCTGTAATGGCCTCCACAGCTGCCACAGGGACACCCTTCCTACATGCAAGGGAAGAACACACTCGCTGGAGAGGTGTGTGGTGCAGAAAAGTGATGCAACCTCCACCCTTGGGAGATTTTAAGAGCTCAACTCGAAATGGTCCTGAACAACGTGATAGAGCTGTTGAGTACACCTTGCTTGGAGCAGGTCGTTTAGATGACCTCCAGAGGTCATTTTGTTGCTACTGTTTTTAAAGGTGTTACTAAAACCTGACGTTACACATAGGTCTACTTAACAAGGTTACCAAAAAAATCAAATGGAAGCAGCTGCAGAGGACTACCAGGAAGGTTTTGAGAACGAACAGCTTGTTTCATTGGCACTTAAAAACTCTCAGCTTGCTTTTCTAGCAAAATAGAAGTTTAGAGGACACGTCAATTGTACTGATGAAAGTAACTCCAGGGAAGAAACTCAAACAAGAATACGTGGTACAAGATAAAAAAAAAATAAATGCCGTAAGAAAGAACTTAGAACTGGAAATGAGAAGTTTCCAGAGAAAGAGGAAAAAAACCCGAGTAACACCTTCTTAACAGGAGAGCAGTAGTATGGGATCGAACTGTGTCAGGAAGCCCAAGAAATGTGTAAGAGCTATTTGTCTCACATTGGTATACTCTGGGTGTTCTGAATCAAAGCTTGCCAGCAGCAGCATCTCTGAACTGTACTTAATGAAACCTGGTTCTTTGGAATTTCTGATGGAAAGGACAAAGATTTCCTTTCACTTTAATATAAAGCTCACCTCCTACCGAAGGATCACTTTCACCTGAAGCACCAGTGTGCCGCCACAATTAAAAGAACCTCCAATACGGGTAAGGAGGTCGAGAAGACTGGTGGGGCTTGCTCCCACGTTTAAAGAACACTGCCCCTCCATCCAGGCAGGCATATGGGGGTGGGGGGGATGCTCCTTACAGAGTCACAGAATCACAGAATGTCAGGGGTTAGAAGGGACCTTGAAAGATCACCTAGTCCAACCCCCCTGCCAGAGCAGGACCACCTAGAGCAGGTCACACAGGAACGCACCCAGGCGGGTTTTGAATGTCTCCACGGAAGGAGACTCCACAACCTCTTTGGGCAGCCTGTCCCAGTGCTCTGCCACCCTTCATCTACACTAGGATGTCCGAGCCCAGATCCTGAATGAAAGCAGTCAGTCTCACCGTGTGCTGTGACAAGGACCTGGGATTCAGGTAATAAGCAAAAGTCTTCCCTCTCCTGCAGTACGTAGAACTTGGGAGTTCTCCAGGACCAGCAGGGCTTAAGATTTTCTGTGCCACCGATATTTAATTTGGAATTTTATTTTTTTTCAAAACTTCAATTACACATCCAGCTGTCAAAAGAACCCCAACAGTCTACTTCATCTGATGTTCCTGAAGGTGGGCCACGCCGTGTTTCTCCTAACTGCCAGGCTGTAGGGGATTTCAGTTTCCTGAGCACCAGGTTTACGGACATCTTGTCCTAGCAGACCTGAGAAGCTGGCTAGCCAGCGAACTCAAATCGAGTCACCTTGGCCACGAGTGGTCTGCTAGGAGCTGTAGTGCAGCCTCCAGCTGCGAGGATGAGGGAAAGGCATTGTCCTTGCTGCTGACGCAGGGCCAGATGTGACTCAGCGATGTGGGACTCCAAAGGCTCCAAATTCCAGCACTCTAATCAAATTACCTGGAAGAGCAAGTTGATCAAAGCAACACAAACCTGAGGGAGTGACAATAGAATAGAGGGTCACTTTATTTTCAGTCGGTCAAGGAGTTCTTCTGCCGTTGCAATTATGCCTCAAAGAAACCGCGGCAAAAACGTGCAATAAGGTGACGGCTAGAAAAGAATCGGAACTCCAGCTTTCTCCCTCTGATGGTCACAATCCCCTGCGAGCAGCCCAGGAGGCCATCCTCTTCTAAAAGGATCTTCAGCCTCTGACTCTTAGCAGGTGACAACTTCACCTGCTTACGAAGAACTCATATTCGGGAACCTCACTGCCCTGGCAAGTGACAACCCACTACCCCCAACCCCCTCAGAACCACTAAGATTTCATCCCCTCCACTCATGCTCACACAGGGACTGTGTTTTGATCTCCTCCCCATAGCTCAAATTCCTGACTTGGCCTTCTCTAGCCCAAGCGCAGTATCTTCGAAGTCTAAGTCCTGACCTCCTCTTCCATAACTCAAGGCTTATTTTTAAGTTGCTGTTCTTACTTGAGACAACCTGCTAGGCAGGATGTTCTGGTCTTCCAGGTTTAGCGTATGAATATACCCCAGACGCAAAAAGGGTACTCACACTTTACCTCACTAAAAACACACAGCAACCTTCTCATCATCTCGGGCACAGTCCCTATTTCTTTTAAAAATAAATATTTATGAACAAAAGGAGGAGATTCATAGAACTACAATGATAAAAAATTTCCTGCCAACAGCACAAACGTCTCTTTCATGTGAAACCACAAGAACAATTTGTACACCAACGCATGTAAGTACTGTCTAAAACCCCTCTCTCCTCATTCAGCTGTCACAGTCCTCCACTGCAGGAATCCACATCTCTCATCGCAGCAACCAGCTCCTCTGCACTTCTCTAGGACTTGTATTGGGGCTGCTCAATCTCCTTTTGTGATCAAGTCCTCGATATATGCATCCAGTTCATCATCTGTATTAATATCAATGTCCTGAAACCAAAGGCACAAGAAATACCAGTGAAAACTGAATCTTGAGAAACAGTGCAAGAACGGACAAGACGGAGCAGCACAGCATCCTCTGCAACTCCTGTCCTGGTCAGCCCTTACACCCCGACTTTCAGCACTCTCCAGGTGCTGGCATCTGCTATGAACACACCACTAGCTTTCCTGACAGCGCCTGGAAACCAGTCAGCACTTGACACTCCAACAATGACTCAAGCACTAGATTTACTGGGCCAATCTGCGTCAAATTAGTTGTTTTGTTTTTTTTTTCTTTAACACACATTTTCCTAAAAGGGAACAACTGCTTCCATCTGCTTTCAGTAGCTTTTCCACTGAGTAGTCTGAATTTTGTTTGAAGGTTATTTATTTAAATATATATTTGCTATTTTAATTTAATATTTAATAGTATAATCAGTAAATACATTTCACCATAAATTTTTTATATTAAGCATTATTTGTTTAAAGGTTTGCATTTCTATACATGGGGCTCAGAACCTAGCATCACCTTTCTGCCCAAGAATGGGGCAGAAATTCCCTGCAGAACACCGCCTATGCCCAGGGAAGTTCTCCTGCAGCCCCGTGTTTCACAGCAGAAAACAGAAAACAAATAGAAGCTGTGCACTGTGTCCAAGCCACGAAAAATCCATCATGAAAATTAACACTCATCAGGAACCCCCAAGGCCTCAATCCCAAAACGGGGGGCAGCGAACGCAGCTGGCGCCCTCAGCTGCTTCTGATGGTCTAAGCCCAACCTGCACCCAGTACAGAAAGAGCTGAATCCCAGTAAATGTTGGACTAAAACATCCCAAGTGCCTGGAGGGGCCTGGGTCTGGGGAAGGTTGCTACTGGTGGAACAGCTCTGGTTTCACACCCCGTCCTCACCCACCTCCTGCACTTTCTGCAGAAGGGCCACGATGTTAGTCCTCAGCTTCTGCAGTTTCTCCTCTGTTTCCTTCAGCTTTCTCTCTGAGTTGCGGAGACTTTCTTCACAAGCTTTGGCCCGAGTGTCGGCGCGTGTCTGATATGAATTGCACAGGTTCTGCAGACCTACCTCATACTGTTTGAAATATTCTTTCTGGAGAAGACAAAGCACAACAGGCGACATGTTAAGAAGAAGCACCAAGCATCAAGAAAACCCCAGCACTCACAGCCTGTAGAACTGTGCAGCTACCAGCACCCCGTGATCAAACGCCGCCAGCCTAACACCGCACCCCGGCGCGCCCTGCCCGCGGCCGTTACCATGCTCACATTGACATTGCCAATTTGCCTGCTGCAGGCAGCACAGAAATCACACGGGTTCTCACATTCCTCAAAGACCAGAACTGCAACAAAAGCTGCCTGAATTCAGATTAAGAACGCAGCATGTTTTTAAAAGCCTAAAACCACAGTTATGCTGTAGAAAGATCTGACAGCTTCTGCACACAGTGAGTTTCTTTGGTATAAACCACCCAGACAGCACAGCTTATTACTGTGAGGAAGGAACATCTACACTTGCAGGAAACTCCAGACAAGACCAACATGTCCTGCAGAAGCAGCAGGACCAGTAGCTCAAGCAGATGCCTGAATTAACAGAGAGAAAAGAGGAAGAGACAAGAGAGACTGCCAGTATATACATTGCAAGGGAGGGAGTGGGACACTTTGAAGATGACCAAATAAGCAGTGGCTGTTGTCATTTGGTCATCTGCCGGTGGCTTTTGTCACCTACAGATGCCTCCTGGAAAGGTCTGCCTTTGTGGTAGGTCAGAGAAGAAAGAGAGACGTCGGAGAAGCCAGTACCACTTCTCCGCATTTCAGCCTGTGTTGGACCTTCCCATACCAGCATGCAGGTACTCGTGCAAGCCCAGCCCCTGCTGTTCCCTGCTCAAATATGCGGAGGCTACACCAAAAGCCTCAAGATGGACAGCTGACTCACAAGCGCTAGGCCTGCTCACCTAGAGAAGTGTGAGGGGGGTTGGCTTCCGTGTTTTCTCTCATTTTTAAGCTTGCCTCCGTACACATTAGATTTATAAGGCAGGGGGCAAAATGAACAGGTATGCCTACATCCGATTTCTACAGACCTCTAACCTGGCCTCTCTTTTTTAAAAGGCTAACAGCAATGGACAAGAAGTTAGGATAGTAGCAGCCAACAGCTTTCCCACACAGATGTATGGTAATTTAAAAAATCCTCAGACAACTGTCAAAAGACCTAAGGCACGTTTCAGAGGTTCTCATTCTTTTTCTCAGCTCTGCTAGTCTGCTACGGTTCCAAACAACTTTTTGAAGAGTGGGACCTAGCAACAGGATGCACGCTTGCCATAAGAACAGAATGTGTGGGGGGAAAACCCCCAAACTTACTTTTCTAGAAATACTGAACTCACCAAGGGAAACGCCAACAACCCTTCTGAGCTCATGGAACTCAGCTCCTTCTTGGAGACAGGGAAATTCGGAGGCAAGAAGTACCGCAAACAATTCCTATGCAGGAAAGAAAAACACAAAGCCAGAACCGGGAGTGTAAAGACTAAACCAACCAGACTGCAGCAGCTCACGAGAAATGCAGTGAACTCACCGGAGGATCTGGACTAGTAAGTCTACTGTTTCTTGGCTGCTGCTGGGACCAGTAGTGTCTGGCTCAATTCTGACACAGTCTGAGGTAGAAGGTTCAGCCACAACAACCTCCCCTTCCTGCTGCGTGTCTGGAGTCTGGTATTCTGGAGAAGGAGGCTTCATCAACCTCACATCCTCACTGCCCTTCTCTACCCTGAAAAAAGAAAAAATTAAGGGAAAGTCAGACCTCTTTTTCTACCCTGGCCATCCCTGAAACACTGTTAACAGCTTCATCAGAACCTGCACCCGGCTGTCACTCTGAGACCTCTACATTACACAACAGCCGCCTCCCCAGTACCATCACATCAAAGCGACGGGCAGACTGTACGGAGTCTGTCAGGCTCATTCCTTAGGAAGCAGCTGGACAGTCCTGAGCACACACATGCAACCCCTGACATGACAGCAACATACTTCAGCATTGGTGGAAGTAAAATGGGGTCTTCCTCCTGAAAGCAGAACAAGCCTCCAAAATCCAGTAGCTAGAGATAGTTACCAGCGATCCCTTGGTGTGGTGTCTGTAGGAACATAATCAAACTTCACCTTCCAGCGTACCACACGCTTGCCCATTTCCACAGCTGTGACACGGCCTGTGAACCACTCCTTGTTCACACGCACTTCCACATGCAGCCCTTTATCTGCAAGGAGGACGACAGTAAAGGAGTTTGCAAACATTCATATGCTGGAGAGCACATTCTGCATGAGCTCTGGAGAAGACAGCCACCCTCAGCAGGGAGCAAGCCTAAACCCGTGACGATTCCTTCAAATGGTACGTAAACCATAAAATCACCATCACCCAGTTCAACTCCTACTTAGAAACATTAAGATGCAAGGAAATCATATGGCATTTTCAGACAGAAGGTTCCTCCTGTACTCCGGGCTGTCTGACATAGGCTTTTCCAGGCTCATGTTGGCCACTAGGACCATTTGCCACATGTTCCTAGTGGTCACTTTCCAGACAGCTCCTTGGGAACAAGCTGAAAAAATGCCCTGCTCTGGCAGAAGGTGCAATACGATTCTGGCTGTCATCTTTCCTGCGGGTCTCTCAGCCCCTCTTCTCTCACAGCAGCACAGCAGGTCTAGATACAATCCTCAGCATTTCCAGCTAATGTAGCTCCATGATCCATCCAGTTGGGAATCACAGAATCACAGAATGTTAGGGGTTGGACGAGATCTCGAAAGATCATCTAGTCCAACCCCCCTGCCAGAGCAGGTGAAGGGAAGGGTGAGCATGACACCAGCCTACACCATGCAGCCAAGCATCACACCTGTTAACATGACACGGCCCTCAGATTACAGATCTTCCCACACCACAGCGGCCTCTTGTCTAATCAAAAGATTCCTGGCCAAAATGTTTCACGCGAGTTAAGAGTCATCTCAGGGTTTGGGAACCAAATTTACACTAATTCATATTTTTAAAAGCTCATTAATGAAATCACATGTTTAACCAGTGAGTCGAGTTCTGCAACAGTTCTTTTCCACTGTGTTAGAAACCGGAGGCAGTTCAGGGGTTCATTTCTCACCTTTCTGAGCTTTCTTCAGTTCTGCCAGCTCTTCTTCCCCAGCACTGTCTGTGAGCTGTGAGCAGAGAGATCAGATTAGCTGCCTCCCACCAAGATTATAAACATTTGACAAATATCTTCTGCTGGGAGAACGATGCACACTCACCTCTACCACCACCTCACTGGAGTCCTTCTTCTCTTCTTTCACTGCCACAAATTTACCCCGTTTTGTCTTCTCCTTCTTGTGCTCCTCCTCCTCCTCCTCCTCAGACCCATCCTCTGTGGTGTTCAAGGTCCTCTTCCGAGTGCTGGAGGCCTACAGGAAGCAAACGAGCTCTAGCTATAATTCCAGTGTGCTACCCATCAAAACCTTCTTTCAGCCAAGTTGAAAAAAAATAAAACACTCAGCATCCAGTATTTAATTCGATAATTGGCTTTTCCAGAATGTTTTAGCAGGTGCTATGTGATCATGCAAAGGCTCACCCTGCCACTCCACACTCTTTTTTTTTTTCCTGGGGAAAGTCTGGTCTAACAGGAAAGAGATGAAGTGAGTCTTCACACGGGGTGTACACTGGCACTGTAACCCGAGAGCAAAGGAGAAATTATCTCGTCCTGCGCAGGGAACACAGCGCAAACCCCGTGCGACAGAGTAAGGCCGGCTCCAGCAGGCACGGAGCGGAAGGGTTCCATCCCCTGGGGTCTCACCTGTGGGGATTTGACAGTAGCAGATTTCTTTAGCGCTGCCACCTTGGCAGCTTTTGGACTGGGTGTCTCACGTGAGCTTTTGGGGTTCTGCAGGACAGCTGAAGGTGGCTTTGTTGTGGTACCCGGTTTGGCAAGAGTTTTTAAAGTGCTGTTAGACTTTCCAGCTGTCACAGTGGGCTGGTGTGTCCTGGAAGTGCCGGCCTCCTCCTTGGAGAGCATGTTTGCCAGTTTGGGAGCGCTGATATTTGGCCAAGCTGAAGAGCTCTTTTTCAGCTGACTGGTGGACTTGGGAAGCGGAGCAGGTGGTGGTGGTCTGCTGGGAGCGTTCTTGATTACATCAGGCAAAGGAGGAGATCGCGGGCGCTGAGGTCGGGTCTGTGACTGGGTGTTCTGAAACACATGAGGGTACAGAGACAGAAAGGATGGAAGAGTAGTCGGGCGCTGCTCGTCAGAGCAGCTAAGGACAGCACAGCAGAGTGCAGAGCCTACAGCGCTATCCCACTTACCTCCCCTGCAGGCCGTGTGGTCACTTCCAGAGGCAGTTTCTTTAAGTCAGCTTGAGATCGAATTGGAGTGGTTTTCTATTAAAAATACAAAAATCAGAAAGGCTATCTTTAAAAGCTGTCAGGGCCTGTCTGAACCCAGCAAACAGCTTTCCCATTTAGAATAAAAAATTAGAAGACATCAAGAGACATCCCTTTCCCTGAACACCAGCAATCACTCCCATTTTCCCAGCAGAAAATGAAATGCAAGCCGAGATGCTTGTTTTCTGTTAATAAAACAACGCCTACCCCACGAAGGACCACAGGGGGCACTGAAGGCTGAGGCAGACATGACTTGGCATCAGCCATTTGCACTAGGAGGTCCCTCAAACCTTCCGTGCATGGCTGGAGACCTCCTTAGCTGGAGATTCACCTGCAGAGCTTCGAGCTTTTCCTGCTGTTGGCGGATTTTCTCTGTCAGTTGCTTCTGCTTTTCCTCCTGTGATTTCAAGTCTTTCTTCAGAGTTCCCAGTGGTACCTTCTGCTTCTGCTCCGCAGCTTCACATCTATGAAGGGAATGCAAGAAAATCTCAGCAACGACAGCAGAACCTGCACCGCACACACAGCCCTGTCCTCACCCCATCCCAAACACAACAGTAAAACCACTTTCCTTTCCACAGTAGCCACAACCTCAAAACCAGTGGTTTTCTTGGGAAACACGTACGATTTAAAGGCCGAAAGCGTAGTTGTTAAAAACAAGCCATTTATGTTGGGAATTGCCAGTTCAGAGCCCAGGAGCTAAACAAAGCTTAGGAACAGCTGGGACTGGTTTTCTGTTTCTGTGCTCTGGACTTTTAGAGCAATTTTCCTTCCTATCAACTTAGGTCTTCATATCAATTCATCTTTTTACAGACTTTCTTTCCATTTAGAAAGGAAAGCTTATTATCAGTAACTTCTCATTAAGGCATCGTTTACACGAGTCTTCTGACAGAAGATGCACTTTGCCTTGACACCCAAGGCCACAAAGTTTTCCTGTGCAATACCCCTTAGCGACTTGCTTTTCCCATCCTGTTGATCTTACAGACTACAAAACAGTGGCGAGTATCCTACTCCCTCAGCTCCTCTCAGATGCAGAATACTGGAAGAGTCCTTGAAAGCTAAGAAAAACACAGGTAGGAAATACAGGAAAGTGGACTGGCATCACCTTCTAACTTCTGGCTGAGCAGCTGGCCATCAGGAGCATTGCCAGAGGAAGAAGAGGGGACTGAGGGGTTACCAGGCTGATCTTCTGTCACGCAACTGAGTCATGGCCAGACACACCAGGATCGACCCCTTCAGGGCAAAGCCACGCAGGGACGATGCCAGACAGGAAAGCAGCAGTACCGAGACAACTCTTGCACAATGCAAGAGATCCAGCAGACTCCTGCAGCGCCTTGGAGCCAATCCACTGAAAACTTCCCGCAGCGTGAGTCTTGCAGATAAAGGGAGGACCCCACTCTCATTGTGGATCACACAGAGCTCCAAGAGGCTGATGAGAGATGATTTTTTCAAAATCCCTGATCCTGAACCTGCCAGCTGATGGGATATCCCCTATTCTGTGAGATACATACTGTGATCAGCTTTGTCAGTGGAAAGGAGCAGAAGCAGCAGTTTCACCATCAGCCTCTTCTCAGCTGAAGCACTGCAGGGAAGTTTTTCATGGAGCAGTTACTTCCTCGGCTAAGAAAGCATCTGTCATCACTGCAAAGTGACTGTCTGACACCAAAGCTGCGATTCCCAAAAATAAAGCTGACCAAGTGGCACTATATACAAGTTTCCCAGCAGAGAATTTCCATCTCCTATGCCAGTGCATGGATCGAGGTTGAAAACATTGTTAAGCTGCATCTTACAGCACAAGAAAGTATGAAAGCACCCATTAGTTCTGCCAACAGGAAAAAATTAAGACTACTCGTGACATTCAAAACCACACATTGCATCACTAAAGGCAGCAGGTTGGAAAAAAAGGAATTACCTTTTAGTCAGAATAGTCTGCAACTCAGCACCAAGGCTTTGGTGATGCTCAGGGAGCCCTGAGCCAGAGAGACACCTTCAGTTGGTGTTCCAGCTACAAGTCCCAACACCACTTAGGGCCCAACTGGATCTTAGGGGGGATAAGGAAGGAGAGCGAGTCTGACACTGAAGTGTGACACAGACACACTGTGTCGTCACACGCTGTGATGAAGTGAGCGATGGTGCCACTTAGTGCTGACGCCAACGTAGACTGTGGCATCGGAAGGGGTGACTGCTTTACAGGACAGAGATGGAGAAGTGCATTCAGCTCCCATGGCCCAGGACAAAGTGCCACTAGCATAAACTGAGGTGTAGGTGGACAAATCAGATGGGTGGGGAACAGCTCAGTGCCAACAGCGGACACAACGCAGGCAGACAATGCCGGGCCAGCTGAAACCACCACATGGTCTTCTGACACCAGGAGAGAGTCAGAACATCAACTCCAACCATGCTTCATCTTCAACTTGACTGGATGAGATTCTGCACAGACCCTCATGGCACACAAGCTGGAGGGCCTCCACCCATGGTGGCAACAGCAATGCTTCCGAAATCCTCAGCCCTCCCTCAGACAATGCAAATACCTAGAACAGAACAGCTGGGGCACACAGTCAAGACACAGAGCTGAAGGTCTCCAAACGCATAGCACAAGGACACAGCAAGAACCACCAGGCAGCAGAGCACTTGGAAGTTCAGAAGCGCGGTGACTGCAAGGAAGCCCTGCTTTCTGCTGGCACCACCCAGGCCAGGGGAGTGCTAGTGCAACTTCTGTAGAAACCCTTCTGCCTCGTGGAAAGGGACACTACTGCACTGACTGCTGGGAAGTGCACGTGAGCCTCCTCAATCCAAAAATATTTAAAGTTATTTATGCTCCTGGAACAGGACTCCTGAGATCCCTTTCAAAGAAGCTGAAATGACCAGAAGTGCGGATCACCCGTCCAAAGCACCTTGCCCTGCAAGGGGATGAGGATGACGTCACGCATGCACACACTGCAAGACACTCTGACTTACTCCAACCAACGTCCCAACATGTTCTCACATGAAATGCAGCCAAACTCCTCCCAATTTTCAAGGTATTGCAAATAGAAAATTTGAATTCTGTCATTAGAAAACCAAGTTCCTGTTATGTTACTTGATAAAAAAGCTCATCTGCACATACACAAAAGAGCACAAAGCAACAGCAGGTGGTAGAACCTGAGTTAACACCCTTGCCTGGCTACTCCCAGGCCATCCCAGGAGCCAGCAGCCCATCCAAGGCCCATTTCCACAAGCCCAGAGGCCCAAAGGCAGCTCAGGGAATGCAAATTAGGTACTTAGAGGGACAGACACACCGTTTGGGCTCGTGCCAGGGCTGTCCCAGGGCAGCCTCAGCCCCAGTGTTCAGTCAATGTGAGCGGCTCTCTGAAGCATCTTTTGGACTGATGGAGGAACCAAAAGCAGGTAAAGGAAGGGATTGAGAAGATTTGTGGAGGAAGAAACGTAGGAAAACAGAGAAATAAAAGGCTAAAGAGGGCCAGTTGTACCTGAACAGTTGACTGGTCAGTACGCTTGTACCTGTACTAAACTCCTTTTCTATTTTCCTGGGCGAGGGGCTCTATTCTGCGTCTCCATGTGTGTGCAGTGGTCTGAATGCCAGCAGCTAGAGTGGGACCACCAGTTGCAGGGGCCTGCGTGCCACCAGCGGCAGGGATCGCAGACATGCCCACAAACATGTGATTCACAGCAAATGTCAGGCCAGACGAGCCAGCGGGCCTGGGAGCAAGGGGAGGGGGTGTCTAAGGGTGACCCCGCAGGAGCTGACTACTGGAAGGACTGGGGAGTCCTGCCTGACTGCTGGAGACAGGTATGGGCGCGTACGCAGAGCTGATGGTGCCTCTAGGCAGGAGGCACCTGGGAAGAGCAAGGATCCCGATCCGCTAGAGGACAGAGAGCGTGCCCCAGGTGAGACACTGGGAGGTCTGCAGTGTGCGCGTGTCATCTGTGCCCACGTGAGGAGGTCTGTACCCCGCACCCATTGGGGCTGCAGGCCTCAGGGCTCATCTAACCCAGTGCAAATAACCACAGGGACAGGGTCCAGGGGCCAGATATGGATGTATTTCCACTACTGGTCCTTCACCCTGATCAACGGAGAGGGAAAAAGATGAGGCTGCTGGTGCGGTTTGCGTGAGCGCTGCCTGTGTTGACTGGCATGGCCAGACATGTGTGGGCTATCTGCATTTGTGTGGGTGTCTACCAGCAACGCATTCCCAGCCTTGCTCCTGTTTCCAGCTGGGGTGGCTGGAGGTGTGGCAGCCTCTTCTGGGGCTGGAAGCTTCAGCCCTACCCCAGCAGTTCAGCCGGAGGACATTCTCAGCACAACCACACTATTCGTAGCTCCGCACCAGGGCACAAAACCATGGAGCAACAGGGAAGATAGCATTGGTATTCTTCCAATGACAGGTGCCAAAAGGAGAAGCCAGAAAATCAATACTTTCTAAATATCAAAATCAACACCTCTTTGTAGCTTTTTCAGCCACAGATGTTAAAATTTTTATTCCCATTAAAAGTTACCACCTAGGTTCATTCCCTTTGTCTTTAAGCACTAAGCCAAGGCACTTGAACTATAGCTGAGCAGCTTCCCTCATCATACAAGACAAGGATCAGCTTCTAGCAGTGTCTCTCTCCACAGAGAAGCAGCAGCCTAGAGCAATCATTTTCCTCATTCAGATAAATGACTAGATTCTACCTGGATTTTATAGCGGTGAGACACACCGCTGGGAAATGAATCGATGTGTTGCTCCCTCAAGTGTGCAAAATGCCATTCTTGGGCTCACTGCAATGCACAGGTGTGGCTGCAGTTTGTGTGTCTAACGGGTTGGAGCTATAGTAGCAATAAAGACAATTGCAAACACTGAACACACAGCACTCCCAGCCTGTGCTTGTGACTATTCTTCAATCGCTGTCTGTGCTACCTACATTAAAATTAACAGGCATAAACTAAGGCTACAATCGTATTTCCAGCGGCAGCACAGAAAAAACATAAAGGAACTTAATTTCACCAGATCACTGGTTGAGGTTGGAGATGCCTCTGGAGGTCATCTGGTCCAATCCCCTGCTCAGGCAGAGTCACTCAGAACTGGTTGCCCAGGACCATGTCCCAGAATATCTCCAAGGACGGAGACTGCACAACCTCTCTGGGCAACCTGTGCCAGTGCTCAGTCACCCTCACAGGGAAAAAGTGTTTCTGATGTTCATAGGGAACCTCCAGCGTGCCGGTTTGTGCCCATGGCCTCTGGTCCTGTCCCTGGGCACCACTGGGAAGAGCCAGGCTCCGTCCTCTTTGCAGACTGTCTCCAGGTATTTATATACATTAATGAGATCCCCCTGAGCCTTCTCTGCTCCAGGCTGAACAGCACGTCCTGGTGCCTGGGGTTGCTCCTTCCCGGGGGCAGGACTTGGCGCTTCTCCTGGTTGAACCTCATAAGGTTCCTGTTGGCCCATTTCTCCAGCCTGTTCGGGTCCCTCTGGATGGATGCACGACCCTCTGGCACATCAGCTGCTCCTCCCAGTTTGGTATCACCTACAAACTTGCTGGTGGTGCACTCTGCAATTTGTACATTGCACAAATGCCCACCAACGTGTCAGCTCCAAATACATACGTCATCATCACTACCTTTTCACAGACTGTGAGAACAGCTTAAAGGTACAAAATTACTGCCTATCCCTCCAATTGTTCTCAAAGAACAGACGACCAGAAAGAAAAATCATGTGCAGATAAGGCACAGTGCAGAAAAGTCTTTATATTAACTGATTCTTACCTGTCCTGTTCAGGATCGGGGTTCATTGAGCACACCCAGCTATCAGGGTAATTCTTCTCCACTGAACTCAGCTGGAACGGGAGAGTCCGCCATTTCAGACACACATCTGTTAGACAAACACTTTGCAAGTCAGAAATATACAGCCTGAGCCACAAAACTGTTTTTTTTCCATAGCACTTCTCAAGTCCATTTAATGCCCAAGGACCACACCCATTTCCAAAGTATATCCAATGACAATAAAACTAGTGGCTGGAAAAAAAAAAAGCGAGACAGCCACAGGATATACTGGGTCAACTCTTGCTTCATGCTCACAAAATGCTTGGAGGAAGACATCAAATCTTGTACAAGGCATCCATAACAACAATCTGACGAAGCCTGGCATCAACTGAGACCAGAGGACCTCACGGTCACTGCCGCAATGACAGCATGTACCAACTGAACAGCCAATCCTGAAATCACTGCTCATCTCAGAAGTCAGGCTATCTCTTACTGGTATCAACACAAAACAAGTCAGAGATTTATCCACTAGAAAAAAAAAAAATCTAATAAATTTTAGATGAAGCAGGAAGACAGATTTGGCTTTCAGACCATTGCTGGCCTATCAGGAAATCAACAGCTTAAAAAATCAAGTTTTGCCAAAAAAATGCAAAGTTCTTAAATCAGGCTCTGGAAGGATGTCAACAGCAGAGGAGAAATATGACAGGAAAGCCCCTCCTCTTTGGGAGGAACTTGGGAAGGACTGAGAAAACCATCAAGGCAGGACAGCCTAACAAAATAATTCCACAAGACTGACCTCACATTCCTTGCTACATCCTCATCCCCAAGTCCTGTGGGGCAAATGAGGTTGAGGGATTTTGATGTCCCTCCACCAAGAGACACAGTGGTTGTGTTGAGATCTCCCTTACCCCAGTGAGGGCTTAGCCAGGGCTGTTTAGAGATGCACAGAGGAGCACTTGCATTACATTTGCAAGTCGACTGTAAATGGTTCCCTTCTGTGCTCACACTTAGTACCGATTAGCAGGCCAGTGCATCAGAATACAAATGACTTGGCCATTTTCCATTGCCTACATGGAAGTTTCAGATCTTATTCTAGTATTGGGATGGGTGGCTTCAGCCAGTTCCAGTTCGTATGACATTTCTAAGCCCATTCTCAACACTGGCCACACCTGCCCTGTTCTGTAACGGCACGTGAAGAACATCACAGTTGGTAAACTGCAGGAAAGGAACCTTACACCGAGATGTCTAAGTGCACCATGAAGGGCAGACAAAGGGAACTCACAGAAGGAGACAAACCCCAGAAGGCGATAACGATAGCAAAGCTCATCTGAAACCTCCTACCCACTTAGCTGCTCCCCAACTACAGCCAGGAGACCCTCCCCACTTCCCCAGGGAGGCCTCGACTCCTAATCGCAGCCTGGTTGGACGCACCGCACTGAATCGTGGTAGGGATCTCCATGGCTCTCCGGCGTTTGTAGCGCAGTTCACTCGATGGAGGCTGGTTCCAGTTTGCTGACAAATAACCAAATTCATCCCAGAACTTGATGATACCTCTCTGGGCTGCAAAATAAGTAAGCCCTGCTCAGTATGGAGCGATCACCTCCAAAATCACCACCTGCACTCTTGGTTGCCCTCCCCCTTAGCTGCCTTCCAGCCACCAAAGTTCCCCCTTCCAGCCCCTGGTAATTGTGAAGCTCCATCACCTATAGCAACATCCTTCCAATACTGAGCCAGATGGTCTCCCATGGCCTTCAGCAAGTGTCGATACTCTTTGGCATCAGCAAAGTCTTGTTTATTATGGGTTGGCTCCAGAACCAAATAGGGCACATCCACCACCCCTACCACTCCACCACAAGCCCTGGAAGAGGGACACACAGCCACAAACATCATTAAACGACCAGGTCGTTGTTCAGAGCAACAGTATTGAAAATCACAGCTTATGCACACACTCAATCACCCACCCATTCCTGCAGCAGTACTGGTTTTATCAGCTTTCTAAATCAGACTCGAGCCAGCATGCAGAGAGTAAGGTGGGCTTGAATACTCTTATTTGCTTTCAAGACCTACTCTCCCTGTCCCTAGAATGAGGCAGTACTGCTCCCAGTATTCATCAGCCCCAACCGCCAGCACTGAGCACAAAA